ATATTTTCCATTCCCAATTCAAATTGATATATACAAAAATCAGAAATATTCTCTTCGATCTTCTCTTTAAAAAATACTCCTTTGGTTTTTGGGCAAATATTCTGAGTTCCAGTCGGGTTTGTGAGTGCACACAAATTCCGGCGCCGTGTTTATCCTGGAGGGCGACCGCTTGATGTCTACTGCACCGGGGTAGCGCGGAATCGTCTTTTAGGTCAGTGGTTCACCACGACGTGACAATTATCAATTTGGTCTATACAACATTGAGATAAGTATTTTCCGTTTAATTGCTTATTTTCTAACAGAGAAGACCTTTGACAAAACCTAAGTTTTTGGGCCGAAGTAATTTGTCTTACTTGGAAGTAAAATGTGGCGAATAGGCGCCAAAACTCAAATCACCAAAAGTAATGTTAACAATACACAATAATGAGTTTAGTTGTTGACTTTTTTTTTTTTTTTTTTTTTTTTTTTTTTTTTTTTTTTTTTTGACAAAGGAGAAAGCATACATGAAACAAGACTATTTCTCATCTCTAGCGATACTTGCTAGACTTTGAGTAGCCTTACACATGAAACAACTATTACTACAACACTTAAAATTAGAAATACATATAACTAAATTAAAATTAAGCTTCTTCTTTGGATGGTCGGAGAAAGTCGCTGATGTACCACCTTTCCTCTTCATACCTGCATGAAAATTTGATTTAATGATAGGATATGCATGGTTAGAATGCAAGCTCTTGATTTGTTTTCGAGTCCTTTCTCTGATTCTCCTCCTCTGAAAGCTGGATGCACTAACTATGGCTTCAAAAGAGTTCTTATTCCTCCTCACCTTGCTCTTGAACTCAAGGGAACGTTGAGAGGAATCATTCCTAGGACCTGGCACACTAGTATCCTTCTCTTTGGGAACTTGTACTTGATACTCACCCTTGATGTAGGTAGAATCACGCGGCGAGTGGACTTGATCAGCATCGGCATCCACATAGTCGTTTTCCTTTTCATTCACGAATGATGACGTTTTTTTATTGGTGTCATCATCCTCAACAACACTCGAAGACGGCGTCGAGTGAGAGACCACTGCTTCCCTCAAACTAAGTTTATGGAGGGTCTCCATCATGATATGATTTTTCGGGGTGAAGGTACGCACCTTCATCAAAGACATAGAATGTGGTTGGTAAAGCCATAACTCTTTCCCTTGCCTCAATTTATAAATAAATCTGTACGGGCAATTTTCAAACAAGAAGATGGCTTTTTTCGATTCAAGTTATCAACATCCATGGGGACTCCATCATCCTTCATATAAGACCCCTGGCTACTACTTAGCAACTCATTGGAAGCTTCTAACTTAGGAACAGCAGACTGTAACACATTCTTCTCCACCTTGAACCCATACTTTTTCATTTACTTGGCTTCTTTGATCATCACCCATTTGAAGATGCATACTCTCCTCAACCTTTGTCTCCTTACCAATAGCATCTGGTTCCCTAATCATAACTTTCCTCAATCTTATCATTTCTCTTCCAATTTCCTTGTTATTAGGTTCAATCTCATTTGCTGATTTAAAATCATCATAAGCCTTATCCAAAGACCCCAACTTCCCTAATGCTAAATAGAGCCTTCACATTTCTCTTATTTGAATCCAAAATCAGAGAGCAAGAAGTGATTGCATCATTAAACTTGTTGAGCTTAATTGCACTAGCTGCAATATTCAAATGCAGACTAAAAGCTAGATCCTTCAACATTTCCTCAACATCAAAATCATCCTCCCCCAAATGGTCCAGCATGATAGGTCCCAAACTAAAAGATTTTTCCCCCATCCCTTAAAAAACACCCAAACAGAAGATCTAATAAACTATTAAGCAAACACCACACAATACACTAGCAACAACCCAAGAACACGAGGCAGCAGACCAAAGACAAGAAGAACTAGAAAAAATTAATTGATAAGACTTACAACTTGAGCCGAAATGCCTTCGAAAGAATACCCACGAATCTTCTAATTTTCCCAAATTAATTGAGATAATGGCAAAAGAGCACTTTAAGGAAGCTCGCCGGCGACCATAGGAGGGGATATGGCCGCCGGCGAGCTTGGTGGCGTTAGAAAGACAGTGGGATTGAGGAGAGAGAAGTTGCGGAGTTTACTATGTTACTAATTGCATCTATTGTTGATCATTACAAATAAAATTTCAAACGTTTAGTTGTTGACTAATACGACTAGTTGTTAAAAAATCTACTAGTAAAACTTATTGTATCGTTGAAGGCATTTTCCTCTCTTAGAAGACCTTCATGAGGTGGTGACTAAGAATTCACAATAACGTCAATATTTGAAAATTCCAATAAATTAGCTGAAAATAGAGGAAGGAAATAAATTTGGGCCTCCAATCCTAAGTGGGGCCAAAATAATAATGAAGTTACTAAAACATCCTTGATAGAAATCTCTAATCACGAGTTTGGCGGTCCAGAGTAATTAGAGGCATTAAAAGCCGCTTACAATCCGTAGCATATACATTATTTTTTCCCCCCATAATTAGTCAAAGTTTTATCTAGCTCTATTTTCGTGATAACTTACTCCTTCCGTCCTTTAATTATATGTTTATTTCTTTCATTTGTTACTCACTAATAAAGAGGCATAGACAAATAATTAAGGGATAAAGGGAGTACTAACTTGACATGTTAGAGAGGATATCTCGAGAAATATATTGAGGGTAGTAGCTCTAGCTCAACGTATGATGCATGATGCTTGTTACTATTTTTGATACATATCTCAATTAGACAGATTCCATTAGTGTCAGTTTAACAAATTAAGACACAATTGCCTTATATTAAACTTATATGTAGACTGTAGAGATTTCAAGTAGTGGCTCCATTCAACCCGATTGAAGTTCGATAATAACCAAAGTGATCCAAAATAAATTTTACATTTGACCCATGTGGATACACTTACACTACATAAACCATTATCAGGCGATCAAAATCCGGCCATAGACCCAACTCTTCTTTCATAAAAGGTGTAATCGATAGAACTTTAGATAGACAAGGGTATAATCTAACGTAAACAGGTTCAGCAAATCAGAGGCCACACAGCACATAACTTAGGCAGCCGCCTCCAACGTGGCTTCCTCTAAAAAAAGGCCTTAGCAATTTGAAGTTGATCTTGAGTCTATCAGAATATAAATTTGATAGAGTATAAAACATATTTCTGGGTCTCAACCATCAGCTTAAGTGATATGTCTATTTTATATAGTGTTTTACCCCCGTCCCGTGGTCATTATTAGTAGTGTTTTTGGCTCTTTCGGACCACTTTTATTACTAATTTGTGTGTTCTAGCGTTTTCGTAGTTTTAGTTATATTTTACAGGAAATTGCGCTGTTGGAGCATTTTCCCGGGCATTATTGGATCGACTACGGAAGCTAGAAGGACACGACCACTTTTGGAGTCCAAGATCGGTGAGAGCCGGTGACTAAGGGCTCGGTTATTTGGATCAAGAGGCAATTGGACCATGTATTCGAGACCCGAGAGGAAATATGGATTAGGCCGAGAAATCTAGCCCAATCGAAGTCCAAGCCTTGAAGATGAAGGTCGGGCCCTATAGGGCAAGCATACGCCCGATCGGGCGGATGCGCGCATGACTGCTATCAAGGAAAGGCGCGCCCGATCGGGTGAGCGTAGGCTCGATCGGGCGCGGCACATTAGACTGGGCGTTGTAAAAAAGGCGAGCCCGATCGGGCGCCCCTTCGCTCGATCGGGCGCGTGTTTTCCTAGGGTCTGATTAGTTTAGTTTTAATTCGTGTTTTAGGAAAGGTTTAAATACAATTTGTACGGAATTATTAGTTACCTCATCTCTTAGACTTTCTCTCTCTACTTAGTTTTTTCTCTCTTAAACTCTCTCTAAACCTTTGTTCTTAATTCTTTCTTTTAATTCCAGATTTGTTTTGGTAACGATTTCTCTTCCCTTAATTTTAGTTGTTTATTTTATTCCTTTCATCATGATTTATTCTTTTACCTTGATTAGTTTAGTTTTTAATATGTGTGAGTAGTTTAATTTCTAGGGTTTATGGGGATCCATAAATAATATGAAGGGGTAAATTATTGTTGTTGATTATCATTGCTAGATTAATTTCCTATTGATTGATTTAATGCTCTGTGACTAGATTAGGCCTATCTTTTATGCATGAGTTTGACAATATTGATTCAAAAATCGAGAGATGAGAATTAATGTTTAGGTCTAGCCTTAATAGGCAAGTTAATTTATAAATGGTTAAGTCAAGATTCGAGAGATGAGATTTAATACCGGTAAATTAATTGTGTGATTGGAATACGTAGCGAGAGCCCTTTACAATCTGGTTAATTGATGCATTGATGATTGACTATTATTGATTGTTGGTATTGCATGATAATTTCTTATTGGATTGTTTTAATGTTTTACAATTGCGGCTTGTAAAAGTATAGCAATATTAAATTGATGAATCGAGCAGATGTTAATTTGATATTAAAGGCTTTTTTCAATAAGAGCTTAGATCTAGTAAATTGCGAGAGCCTGTTAGATCTATGTTGATAAATAAATTGCGAGAGCCTGTTAATCATGTTACTTATGCAATGTTAATGATTGATTACTATGTTTTACCTTGGAGTATTATTTATTGGTGAACCTACGCCCTAGATCCCTTTATATATCGTTCTCTCCCTACTCTTATTCTTTGTAGTTTAGTTTCATACTTAATTATAAATACTGGTCACTTAAATAATTTAGATTATAATAATTAATTAGAAGTAAAAAGACTTGTTTCCCTGTGGAGATTGACCCTACTTCCCTATCTACCTTAGTTAGTGATTTAGGTAATTATTTTTGATTAGGGAATACGACTTTACCCTGTCATTAAGCTTTTGGTTGAGTTGATCCTCTAACAAGGTATCTGAAAATTCGGTGATTGATGCTTTAGACACTGCTAGTTATATTGAGATCAAGTATAGCAAACACTTAATTTAGAATGATTGCTTAAGCTTTTACAAATCAGCTTGTTAAACTCAATCAGGGAATTTACCTGACGGTTCCTAATGATCATTACACACGACTAATGACATCAGGTGTAGAACAATGTAAATTAACATCTGTATAAAGTTAAACTTGGGTAGTTCCTTGTGTGAAGTTAGGATCTTCACATCTGTGTTTACCATCAAGTCCAATTCCGAATCCCTTTGGATCTGCAAACACATTCTCAAGAAGTTGGCTTCGAAGTGGAGCAGGGCTTTGATCTGCAAACTCAACAGCTTCCTCAACTAGTTCATCTATCTTCTTCTCAATTGCCTTGAGGTCAGCTTCGCTAGCCAACTTGTTCTCGATTAAGTACTTTTTCAAACAATCTATTGGATCTCTAACTCTGTAGCGAGCCTTCTCAGCTGCCAACAAAAGTGAATTATGTATGTATGTTGTCAATTGCAAAAAGAATTTGAAAAAACAAAAGTCAAGATTCCATCTTCATCACTAGGACTTCGAATAAGAAAACTGAAAAAAAAATGTTATGGTATCAGAATATCAGATGGAATGATGTCCTCTTGTATGTAGAAGAGCTTACCAGGGTCACGAAGGTCATCAGAGTCTGCCAAAGAGTGTCCTCTAAACCTGTAAGTTTCACATTCCACGAGAGTAGGACCTTCACCGGTCCTAGCCCTGTTAACAGCCTCCTTAGCCACTTCCCTCACCTTCAAAACATCCATTCCATCAACATGGACTCCTGGCATCCCAAAAGCAGGTCCCTTCTTCCAAATCGCGGGATCAGAAGTTGCCCTTAAATGGGACATTCCAATTGCCCACAAATTGTTCTCCACTACAAAAATAATGGGGAGTTTCCACAATGCAGCCATGTTCAAACACTCAAAGAACTGCCCATTGTTACAAGTCCCATCTCCAAAGAACGCCACTGTCACATCATCACACTTCTCCTTAAGCACCTCTCTCTTATACTTGCTCGTAAATGCAGCTCCCGCGGCAATAGGAATTCCTTCCCCAATGAAGGCAAAACCACCTAGAAAGTTATGCTCCTTGGAGAACATGTGCAATAACCCTCCTTGCCCATGGCAGCAACCAGTGGCCTTACCAATAAGCTCACTCATCACAGCGCGAGCAGGGACACCCTTGCTAAGGGCATGAACATGATCACGATAAGTACTAACAATAGAATCTTTCTGTGATAATAATTTGATAAAACCAGTTGAAATAGCCTCTTGCCCATTGTATAAATGGATAAATCCAAATATTTTTTCCCTGTAATACAATTGGGCACACATATTCTCAAACATTCTACCCAAAGTCATGTCCTCATAAAGCAACAGACCTTCCTCTTTAGTAATCAACTACAAACAATAATCACCAACAACCACAAATTCAATAATCAAAATTCTTCCTTTATAAATTGTAACACTTACATGATCATAACTGTTTGGGTCCAATTTAGTCCAATTGGGCCTAAGCACTAAATGATCCAATTAAAAGCCCAAGGTCAAGGTTCAACTCTCCAATTGTGCTAAAGTCAAAGGTCAGCCCACAAAGCAAGCCAATTGGGCTAAGGCCCAACCTCTCCATGTATAATGAGGTATAAAGCATCATATTGATAGATTCAAGGAGATTCATTCTGATTCATTCATAGATTCATATGTTCATTCATATATTCTGATATATTCCATAAAAGCCTCAAGCAACAAACTCTCTTGCATAGTGTCTTCTTCTTACACATTGTACTGACTTTAGCATCGGAGGGGCCTTCCTCGGCAACACCCCCGAGGCTAGTTTACGTGTGTTTACTGTGCAGGAAATCTTCGGCCCAACATAACTTGGACCGAATCCAGCCTTCTCCATTTCAGCGGACCTTCGGCAAGGTCCCATTGTTTTCACCCGAAACAATTTGGCGCCGTCTGTGGGGAAGACTTTCAAAAATCTTTAAGCCAAATTCCTAACCAAGATCATCTTGCAATTATCTTAGCAGCAATGGCTAAGAACCGCAAGAGCAAAAGCCTCCGTCAAGGAGCGGGCGAAAAGCCTAAAACCCCTACACCATCGCCCTCGCCGGACCGGAACTCTCCCAAGGGTGCCGGCTCGGGGGGAGGATCATACAAGGAGGATTCTCTATCTCCCGTAATTCATGACTCTCAATATAGGCCGGGCCACTCTCGGTCTAGCAGGGGTCAGTCCGATCATAGGACATATTCAGTGTCCCAAAGCCAACCATCGACTGCGCGCCCTCATTCCCACACTCGGCCGAGGACCCCTTTGACGGGGCCCAGCTCGGAAGAGGTGGCAAGAGCGCTGGCAGTACTCATGGAGGCGATGAGGGCACAAAATATGCCACCACCTCGTGATCGAACTCCTCCGCATACCCGGCATCAGCGGAGGAAGTTAGACCATGATGGTGGGAAGCTTCCTTCCTTCCGGGAACTGGAAGAGTGGGAGGAGGATTCTTGGAAAAATGAAAAACAGAGGAAAAAGAACCCTCAATTTTTAAAAGGATCCTCATCCTCAAGACCAGAAGCGCATAAGAGCAGCAGCTCAGCTTCTCGGCCAGAATCTACTCACCGAGAACCTGAGATTGTTCGCAGAAGCGTCCTTGACCGACTCGGCGGCCAGGAACCGAGCGTGCGTAGTCGCCTCTCGTTCCCTGCAGCCGAGGCCCAGACTTCCCAGCCAGGGACGAAAACCACTCCTACCTCTCTAAGAGGGCGGAGCGCGGTCCCTTCGGCCAGGAACAAGGGCAAGGCCGTTATGCTACCCGCTAGTTCACCATTCGAGCAATGGATACTGGAAGAGCGCGTACCCACGGTTAAAATCCCTTCGCACATCACATATGACGGGACCACGGATCCGAAGGACCACGTGGCCTCGTATGAGACTCATATGCATCTTTGCCCCAGATCCGAGGCGACTTGGTGCAAATATTTCCCAACCACTCTCAAGGGGGTCGCGCAAGCGTGGATCTCCAAGGGAGTAAGGCAAGGCTCCGTAACAGGGTGGGATGATCTGTCCTCCAAGTTCAGGAGCAAGTTTTCCACGGCAAACCGCCGAGAGAAGACTACCGCAGAGCTCATGAGTCTGCAACAGGGGGAAACCGAAAGCCTCCGAGACTACCTGACCCGTTTCAGTAACGAGTCATCAAGCGTCTCCCAGCTGGACCAGGGGCTAGCCGTTTTCGCAATGCAGAATGGCCTTCAGCCAGGAAAGTTCCTAGACTTCATGGTCATGCATACCCCGCAGACTTTGGAGGAAGCTCTTAGTGCTTCGGATAAGTTCATCCGAGCCGAAGAATGGAACAAAGCGAAAACCCAACCTCAATCCGGGGGAGGGAAACAGAGGCAAATACCCTTGTCTGAAGGCCAAGGCCATAAGGCAAAGGGAAAGTCAAAGGCCCCGGAGCAATCTTTGGCCAACGACCCAAAGAAGGAAAGATTTGCCTCATACACAGGCAGATACGAGTCCTACACTCCGCTCTCTCTTCCACGCGCCAAAATTTACAGTGTGACGAAGGAGGAGCAGAGTTACCGAAAGCCGAGACCACTCCCAGAGTGGTATCAGCGAAAAAATAAAAATCAGTGGTGTGAGTTCCACGAGTCTTCGGGCCACAACACTGAGGAGTGTATCCAACTGAAGGACCAGATAGAGGACATGGTCCGGAAGGGATACTTGAAAAAATACATCGCGGATCACCGCGAGAAAAAAGAATCCGAGAGGTCAGCAAAGGACCCTCGGCAGGACCTTGATTTCCCCCGGAAAAACAGTAAAAAGCCGGAAGGGAAATTCCCTCCGATCAATGTTATCTCGGGAGGAATATACTCTCGGAGGGAGCACAAGCGCCACCTTAGAGCTTTGACTCACCAGGTGAACAACGCTGACATTCAATCTCCCCAGTCGCCGGTGCCGAACATGACGTTCACAGCCGCCGACTGCCAGGGGATTACGTTCCCTCACGAGGATCCGTTGGTGATCATCGCCACGGTGGCCAACCACGACGTCAGTAAGGTCCTTGTTGACGGTGGCAGTGGAGCAAACATTCTGTTCCGAAAGGCCTACAATCAAATTAAGCTGAAGCCCAAGCACCTTACGCCGGTACCCTATCCGGTATCCGGGTTCAATGGGGCTTCAACTTATCCAGATGGGAAGGTGACACTTCCTGTCACCATCGGTTGCGATGAGGCAGCCCGGAACGTCATGATTGAATTTTTGGTCATCGACGCTCTGATGAGTGACATTTATGTCACTCTTAGGGGTAGTATTTAGGTCTTTTTCCTCTTATTTTTCTTAGGTTTTCACCTCAATATCCTCTTATGGCTTCTTTTTGTGTTGATGAAAAGTAATGCTTATTTTGATAATCTTTATGCATTATTTTATCATCCCCATGCTCTCGTGAACTTTGGTATCTTCTGCAGGTTCCGTGACGGTCCTATGCACGGTGGGAGGCCCCTTGGCCAAGCATGGAAGCCATGGACAAAGGCAAGAGGAGCAAAAGGGAAGGAGAGGAAGCAAGAAAAGGAAGTGCAAGAGGAGGTGTGGCCGAACCTCTGAAAGGTCCGGTCGAACCTTGGTGTGGTCAAACTTTTCAAAAGTTCGACCGAACCTCCAGGGTGCAGTGAAGGCAGTGTCAAACCTGTTTTCAGCAATTTTGCAGGAGAGGTCGAACCTCAAAAGTTCGACCAAACAAGGATCAGGGAGGTTCGACCGAACCTACACAGGGTTCGACCGAACCTACCCTGAGTCCGACCGAACTTACCCAGAGTTCGGTCGGACCTTTTCCCGATCTCAGCCAATTTTGTACGGACTATTTAAGGTCCTTTTGTGATCGTTTAAAAGGACGGGAGAAGCAGGACAGTAGCCTAGTTTTCAGAAACCTCCCTTAGTTTGAAACATTCCTTAGGATTAATTTAGCTTAGTTTTCATCAAATCAAATCATTGTATTAGTGAAATTCAAGAATTATTCTCAAAGTTTGGCAATTTGTATTCAACATTTGAAGCTTCAATTAGTAATTTCTCCAACCTTCTTCCTTTTAATTTCAGATTTTATTTGGTATTTGCATGTTATTTAAATCTTCCTAGTTCTTGGTAATTTGTTATTGGATGATAGTTATTTCAATTGTTAACCACTTTTCCCCAATTATTGAAGTATTTAGAACCCTAATTCTTGATTGCATATTGATAAACATGAGTTGTGAGTAGTCTTCTTGCTAGGGGTTGGGTGAAGCTCGACCTTTTGGGTTAACTATGCAAATGTGGGAGAAGCATTGATGTTTGAATTGCAATTAAATTGATTATATGAGATTGCTTGTTAGTTCCTCATGATAGGTTTAGCTACCCTTGACTAAGGAGCTTGATAGTATGATATGCCTAATTTGACATGGAAGTGTAAATTGAGTACGTCATTACTTATTGTAATTTGATTATGTATCGTCTATTGCTAAACTAATGAGGAATCTAAGTTTAGTAGTGTGAGTTGTTTTCTAATTGCATGAGGTTGATTTTACATATAGTCCTTGCTATATCTTGTCTATTTTACTCCCCGTTTACCTATTTGCCTTGGTTGAGTGGATCTCATTCCCTAGTATCTTTAGTTCATTGATTTAGAACCATAGTTTGTTTGTCTTCTTGACGAACCCCAATTCACCAATTGACTTCGAGTTAGCTTAAGTGTAAAGATCTTTGGCAATCATATCCCGTTCCTTGTGGACCGAACTCTTACTTGTCATTATGCTTGGTTTGTAAGGTGTTTGTTAATAAATGTGTTTGATTGAGTGTGGAATGTACGACCATTCGCACGCCCATCAAAATGGCGCCGTTGCCGGGGAACGGTGTTGTTGATAGCTAATTGATTACTTGAGTCTAGTTCACCATAAAAAAAATTTTCAAAAAAAAAAAAAGATTGTTTCTTTTTGGCTACACTTGTAGCCTTGGTACTAATTGCGTTTGTTGAGAGTGTATGCGCAGAACTCATAACAGGATCTTGGTACCTTACGATCCCGAGATTGAGCAAACTTATAGAAGGAGAAAAAGAGCCGGTTCTAGGCCGTTTACTACTCCCCCAGCTAGAGGGACCAATTTTGAGGAGGATCGAGATCAAATGGGTGACGCGGAACCACCACCTCAAAGACCTTTAAAGGAGTTGGGAACTCCGGGAGCTTATAGAGCTTCAAGCGGCATTGCTCCACCCGTTACTCAAGCCAATGACTTCGAGATTCGGCCCGCAATGATTAATTTGATTGAAAGGAGGCAATATAGTGGAGCAAAACATGAGAGCCCTCTTGCACACTTGAACGAGTTTGAAAAATATTGCAACACGATCAAGGTAAATGGGGTAACTCAAGAGTTTGTGAGACTA